ACAGCAGATATCACCGTCTCATCTGTCCCATGAATATGAGGCATGGCACGAGTAAACCACGAGCCTCCTTGGAATAAAGGCGCCAAAACCCAAAGCAGGCAGGTGGAGTTTGTTACCTTCAGACTGATAGACCAGCTGTTTGCCCAGTTTCCAGTCTTTATAGTCTTTATTTTATTGTAAATGCATCATACAGTGAACAGCACAGTGAAGGTTTACAGCGTATTAATACAACTAAGGGTGACATAATGCATCAACACTCCACTGATTCTCCACTGTTGCCTCGCAGCAAGAAGGTCGCCAGTTCATGTCCCGGTGAGGACACCCGGGATCTTTCTGTGTGGAGTCTCCATGTTCTCCCCGTGCAGTGTGGGTTCTCTCCGGGTTCTCCGGCTTCCTCCCACACAGTCCAACAACATGTTGAGGTTGATTGGTGATTCTAAATTGTCTGTAGGTGTGAATGTGAGTGTGCTTGGTTGTCTGTCTCTAAGTGTAGCCCTGTGATAGACTGGTTACCTGTCCAGGTGAACCTGCCTTCACCCTGAGTCAGCTGGGATAGACTCCAGCCCCCCATGACCCTAGTGAGGATTAAGCGCTGTGTAGATGATGGATGGATTTCTTAGTATCACAAAACAAGGAAACTACAGGTGAACCTTACATTCAGGTCACAAGGTAAATGTCTTCACTGATCCACATCAGCACATAACTGCACCACGCAGCGACGCCAAATCAAAATCAAAAAGTGACTGAATACATAAAATAAAACATCATATTCGAGTTGTGTCCTTCTGGTTTCTTTCTTTGCAGCCTGTGACTACGTTAACAGCTGGGATTCACCAGTAATGCTGCAGAGATCAAAGACTGAGATGAAAGTTAACGTGGGAGTGATTTCTTTCACTCTGTAGCACGGTCATAGAATTCATTATTAGAGCCTCTTATGTTGTATTAGAACCACCGATACTACAGGAACTGGTGCATAGACAGGTGCAAATGTGTACTGTTGGAAGAAACAGAAATAAACTTGCATGTTTGCTCTCTTACGTCATGCTGTTATTAATTAATCTTGAGCTGAACTCACAGAAAACTTGTTAACTGTTGGAGGGTTCGGGCATAAAAAGAAAAGACAAAATGGATTTCGACTTCTGTAGACATGACTCACCAAAGACTGAGTAGATGACAGCCACAGTTATGTCCAGTGGCACAGGTATGTTGGAGTGGAAGGCAATGTCTTCAGCCAGCAGCCCCATCTGAAAGCAGATTATTAAGAGCAACGTTAGTCCTTCTCTGAGCTCATGAAATGTTAGCTTTAAAGCCGTTAAGATTTTTTTTTTCTGGCTGTATGTAAGTAGTTTGCTACTGAACATTCTGCAAATCAAATAAAAGGATCCGTCCGAGTGACGAACCGACACTTGTAGCTTTAAGGGGCTTTATATGGACTTTCTACTCGTTGTTTAACTGCCGTTGGTGCAGTGAATATCTTTATCTCTAATGTAATTTTCAACCTCAGATGTAAAAGCTCTAAACCCACCGTACATTAACAGAACAGATACAGTGAGCAACTAGCTTGGAGCTTTTAGCAGCCAAGGAGCAACGTATTTCCCTCAGGAGTCCGTGGAGACCGAATACAGCGTTAAAGGACACTGACTAATGGACCAGTCGTCATCTCCAATGCTGTAATTAAGTCAAGTTTATATTCTTGAAGAAAACATTGTACTTTTTACTCCTCATTAGATCGACCGAGATTGATCAGTTTAGCAAGATTTTTCTTTTAAACTGCAAATAAAATACATTTTGTCACAGATCAAACTGAAACAACTGCTCTATCACATTAGTAATATGGATTTTTCATGTACAAAAACCAAATATGAGGACAAACTATTTTCATTTATCTTTTGCATTTTTGGAATTTGGACTATTAGCTGGAGAAAACCAGCATTTTGAACATGTAGCTCTTATTTTTACAATGAATGCAGTTAAATAATCACTAAAAACAATAAAGAAAGTCAACACATTTTCCCAATGATATTTCCCCCCTTTTTAATTGCAGACTGTAATTGCAGTTGAGTATTCTCACAGTGTGACATCAGTACTTTCACTAAACGATCCGATTACGTCTTTCTTCTCTCCAGATGAACCATAATGTTGACCTGTAGCTGATAAATGAGTAAATAAGCAACCGTTTGCTAACAAGTCGTATCAGTTTTAAAAAGAAGTGACGTCATTTAAGAACTTGTCACAACTGCCTCTAACTGGGGAAACAAAGGAAAGTTAAAGCTTTGTGCATGTAGTCGAAGTTTGTTTGTGTGCTTTTGTGTTGTTGACCTTGTGCAGCATTGTTTGTAAAATATTCATGTATTGAAAATAATACACTATGCAAATAAAAGGCGTGTAATTCCTCCCGTCTACTGAGAATCTTCACATGGAAAAATACCAAGTTGTTGCATTTACACATGTGGAAAAGACGCAGCTTTTGTAGTTTTAATAGCGTTGTGACGGAGGAGAG